GATGCTGAGATCCGTTAGTGAATGTGCCGAAGAGATGGTCTCAAGCACTTCATCACCTACCTCTTGGTTTCATTCAGGTTGACTTTGACATCCTCAATCAAAGCCTTCATCTTTGTGGAGTGCCCCGTCGCGTTGAAGTAAACCTCGTCATCCCTCTTGGAAGAGGGGATCTGAGCCGGGGCGTCGACCATCTCCACGTCTCCTGAACCCCCAGGCCCATCAACCCTCACAACCGGAACACCAGAAGGCAGCGCACGCTGCGCCCTGGCAGACCTCATCCAATTCTCACACACAGGGCAGTGTCTCGCTTGCGGGCTTATCGCGCCGGCCGAATGATCAGACTGATCGAGGCACTCGGAACAGAAGACGTGCGCGCACTGCTCCTCGAACTCGTTCCGCAGCCTGCTGGATCCCAGAATCGGCATCGGCTGGTGGCAACCGTCGCAAGTGATCTCCGCATTCTGGCCCAGCGCGCTGACGACAGCCTCCCGTTCGTCGAGTCGGTACGCCCGACGGTGCCAGGAGAAGGGCTTCTGGTACGTCCCGTGGTTGCATAGGATCCGTAGCTGGAGGTTCGCCTGGAACAACCCAAACTTTGAGCTCTTCTCCACCTCTCCAACCTTTTGCTTGATCGTCCGCATCAGGATCTCCTTCGTCTTGTCGTACTGATCACGCTCTCTCGTGCTGAATTCCAGCTCCTTGGTGACTTCCTCGAGACCAGGGAGCTCCAGGAGCTCTTTCGTCCGGCGCAGGCAGAGGGACTCAAGGAGCGTGATCAGCCGCCCCTTGACCTTTTCCGTGTTTTCCTCGCTCTGCTCAAACGGCAACTCGATGTATCGCCGGAACTTGGCGGGCTCGTCAAATGGCTTGGCGCGGATGAAGGCGAAAAGGGCGCCAATGTCCGAGAGCTTGTTCTGGATGGGCGTTCCGGTGAGGCACCAACGGGAATTGGCGTGCAGTTCTCGGCAGGCATGGTAAAATGTCGTCGCCGGGCGGCGAATGATGTGGGCCTCGTCGAGGACGACGCGGTACCAGCCAATCTTGTGAAGCAGGGAGGACTTCTTTTCGAACTCTGCCGAGAGGGTGTTGTAAGTTGTGACAACGACGTGGGAATTTTTGATTTTGTCAATGTCCTTCTCGCGGCCAGGTCCGTGGTACTTGATGGTTTTCAGTTTATCTTTGACGTGTCTGTTGCTCGTCAGCATTGCCCTACGATATCTTCGGGCGTTGACTTACTTGTTTATCTCGTTGGTCCAGTTGTAAATGAGGACTGCAAACGTCAGCATTCGTTGAAATTAATCATGCATACGGTCACCTACGAGCAGATGATACGACTACTAATGTCGAACCAGAGTAGCTAATGTCCTTGAGCTTGTCGTCGTTGCTGTTCTCCTGCACTGCCCACTGTTGGCCCGTCTGAGCAGTATTGACAATGAGAGAAAGGATAGACAGGGACTTGCCCATGCCCATTTCGTCGGCCAAAATACCTCCGCCTCGCTCCTCTGGCCTCGTACGTTGCTTGACGTTAGTGATCTTGTGGCGGTACCTGGGTATGTTAGCGCAACGCATGTAGTACGTGAGAGGGGTGCGAATGTACCAATCACTTCCGTCAACCTTGACCGGCTGCCAAAGGCGATAGGAGTCGTCAATTTCACCAGACTCCCTCTGCAACATGAACCCGAGTGCCTCTTTCTGATGTCTAGTGGAGGTTAGTAAAAATGGGCTAACGAGTCTGGTTGAGTGATGTCCTCACATCAGAAGTTGGCTGTTGAGTCCCTCGCCACCATCTACCTTGTCGAGGTACCTGAGGTCCCTATTCTTGTCCAGAGACTGGTAAACTTCCATCATCATCTTTCTCAAAGTGTCTTCTCTTGGCTGCCTCTTTGCCGGTCCGCCGCTATTCACCGGCCTCACCACGTTGTCGGCAGTAACCTCAATCCCATCAAGCCGAAGCACGTGTGGATTGTCGTAATCCACGTCCTTCCTCGGATGTGCAGGCTTCTGCAACCAAAGCTTCCCTTCTGACAACTTGTCGCCAACTTCTTGAGCAGCTCCTCTAGGTCCGTAGACGTTGATGTCGACCTTGACCATCGCTTCAACAGGCTTTTTGGCGCGGCCAATGGTTTCTCGGAGGGCGACAGTCGGCGCGATGGGTTCGAACTCGACGTCGGTTCGGGCCAGCAGCGGTTGGAGAGTCTTGCCGGGAGCAGTGCGCAGGTAACCGAAATCTGTGTTTTCCTTGTCTCTGAAGGCGAGGAGGACATGATCCTGTGAGTCTGAAAGGGCGAAGCGTTGGTACTGTGTCTTTCCTGAGGTCATTGCTGCTTGGTGGGCGGCAAGTAGCTTTGAATCGGTGATCGCCATGTCCCCAATCAACTTCACGTCGACATTGTAGAGCTGTTGTTGTGAGTTGACATTCATGTAACAAGGGTGAGGGGGAGGCGAGAATGGATGAAGTATGAAACGGTTAGCATACCATCCCGTAGCAGACTTTGTCAATTTCTTCATCCCCAGCCGATGAACATGAATCTGAGCCAGTGACGATAGACTCGGGGTCCATAGAAGGGGAATGAGTCGCAGGCATAGAGTCTGCTGATGACCCTGAGCCTGAAGGTGACGGGTGGGATACGTAAGATCCACCAGGGGAGGCTATCGTCGTCATTTGCTGCTGGCCCCATGTTTCGAGCTCGAAATTCAGATCATATGGCGTGTCTTCGGTACCGAGATTCAGGTTCAGATTCAGATTTCCCAGCTGATCAGTGGTGTCGAAATTTGAGTTTTCGTAGTTGAAAAGGATGTTGTTGAAAACATCGCCCAGAGACGGGTGATCCTCGAGGACGGGGGTTTCTTGTGGGTAATCCATGCCCACGCCCTGGAACTGGGTCTGGCGAGGGTAGTTTCCCGTGTAGTCGTCGGCGCTCTGGTACGAGGACCCTGAAATGGAGCCGTGAGGGGACATGAACGATGGGTCGGGGTATTGGCTGTGACCATCGTCATCTACATCGTTGAGGAGACGCTTGAGTGACATGTTGGTTGACGGGCTGGAGGTTGATGTTGACGGGAATGCCTGTCCCGTGTGTTGGTGGGTGGTGGTGTTCATGATTTCGTAAAAGTCCTCGCAACCAGTGCTGAAGAGACCATAACCAGATGATTGGGGGGATTCCAATTCAGTCAATCAATGAGGCTCGCGGCCTGAATAAGAGGCCGGGCGAACCACTTTTGAGCACACGATGGTCGGTGACGTGAGGCATCGAAGGCGGCTGTTTGCTGTGCATTTCTGGCGCGTCCTCAACGGTCTCGTGAGGCGCAGTGCGGACGATGGTTTGCGTAGTGCATCGTGCACTCCGAAGAACGCTGAGCTGTTCCCTCCCTCCCCCGCCGTCCCGTCCGCCAGGAACAGGAACCTAACGTAATGCATGGGAAGGGATGAAGGGATGGGGGGGACAGCCCAGCGGGCATTAGCGGGCTTCGGGCTCGTGCGAACCACGAACCAACGGTACGCATGGTGGTCCGCAGGGCTCCGTACTGGCGTAAGGGACACCGGCACTCGCAGTCTCCCGCCTGGGGGCTGGTGTTTTTTTTCCACTTTCCCAGCCCTGGAGCAGCAGCAAGTCAACGTGTGTGTGTCCCGTCCTGTGCTGTGCTTCGGGTTGTTTGTGTGCGTGCGTCCACTGTTTGCACTGCCTCCCCGAGGAGCCGCAGCGGGACCACGGCCACATCTCTACCCCTGTCCGTCTGCTCTCACCGTCGGGACCTCCTAGGGGCTCCGCCACGGCACCTTAGGAGGGCTCTCCAAGTTCCAGTACTACTGCGTATGCTGCCGCAGTGCCAGCGGTGGCCTCTCGGTGTCCCCCGACCGGGGAATCAAGAGCCTCAATGATGAGGGGTCTGTTCCCACTTGCCGATGCTTGTTTCTCTTGGAATGTTCGGAGAGGGCTCCGATCATGTTGGGGAAGATGACGTATGGTTTAGACCTCGTGATGCTTTCTTTCATCTATCTTTCTACGAGGATTCGTAAGGCAAGTTGTTGTGTCTACGGTGAGTGCCGATGAGAGACAAGATGAAGAGACACACAGAGGCAGACACAGAGACAAGACCCCTGTCTATTGACTCGGCTGTCGCTAAGGAATCCAAGACACAAAACTGCCTGACAGCCTCAGAAAAGTACACTGCAGAAAGGGGTGGGATATCACCCCTCACGCATCTCCAATCCCCAAAGAAATCTCCTCAAATGCCCCTCATAAGGCTTCATAAGGCGTCCGGCGGGGGAGGGGTCGCGAGGTGGCCGGAGCAGCCCGCGCGTCTGCGCGTCCCCAAATGCCATGCTGCTGCTTGTGACTGCTGGACATGGGTGAAGCATAATGCAGCCCTTTCACCAGTCTCCAGCTCCGGACCGCAGCCCCATTCAGGGTTGTGCGGGTTCTGTTCGACTCAATGCCAAAGAAGTGGCTTGTGTGGACCGCAAGACATCATCAGCGCAGAGAATACGTGGAAAGATGGAGAGCGAGCTCGCGGTGGCAGTGCAGTTCGGCTGCCTAGCGCCTCATGCCACCCCTGCCGATTGCTGTGTCTTTTCTTTACCCCTGTCTCTCAGGCGGGCCAGCGACATCATCAACACCAATGGGTCACCTCGTGTCCTCGACGTTGAGCTGACAGGGGTTGCTCAGACGGGGTAACATTTCGGGATAGTACCGCCTGACTGGCTGCCTCTCTCGGTCTCTTTTCGAGAAACGCATCAGCCTCAATGATGTCGACTGCTCGGATGGTCCCGTTGTGCCGGATTGCGGATTTCTCAGGACCCTTTCTTTCCAGCCCAGTCTCGTCTAGTTTCCTTCTTTCATTGCTTTCCTTCTTGGATTCTGCAATGTCTCCCCGCTAGCTCTTTGTTGTGTTGGCTGGTGAACTCAATTGAGACCATTGAACCCACAGCGGCGGTATTGGTGTAATCCACGGGCCCCGAGTCAGCAAACACCCCCGGAATCCCATCGGCGAAAACAGCCATGTCCAACGGCCCCGGATCCGGCACCCTCCGCTTCGGAGCGGAGGCCGACTCTCTCGCAAAGGCTGCCAGAAAGTTCAAGGCAATTCTCAACACCAAAGATGCCGAGGAGTTTGAAGAAAGCAGGAAGAAAGTCGTTTGTGAAGAGCTCAATCTCCTGCAGACCCAGCAACAGGCCACGAGGAACCTGATGAACATGAAGAGACTGCAGAGGTTTCTTGATGGGATGGGTGACCTGCAAACTGTCCTGGAGAAGTTGGATTTTCAAGCAGTGGACAATGTCATGGCATGCATCTGGGGCCCTATAAGATTCTTCTTCAAGGTGTGTCACATCCATCGTGTCCCTTTGCTACTGTCAATTGATCGTACAGGCACTGACACGTTGTACTTAGACAACCAGCCTCAACGAAAGGGCCTTTGACCAAATCCTTGACGTCTATCACCGCCTTGGTCTCCACATTTTGCGCTTTCAGGAGTATTTGCGCGTTTTTCAGACATCTCAAGAAAGCATCAAGTGCCTGGTGCGCACTTACAAAGATATCCTCAAGTTCCATGCAGCAACCTACAGACTCTTCTCTCTCCGAAGCCAACGTATGCTACTCACCAAAACCTCCCCTTCGAGCTGTCTTGCAAATCTAACCTATTCGGTCAACAGTATGGACAAAGCTCCACAGAGCAACGTGGAAAGACCTGGACCCCAAGTTCGATCACTTATCGAAGACTCTCAAGCTGCACGCCAAGCACATAGACGACCATGGGTCATACCTTCGGCGCATGGACTCAGGCTTTGGCGACCCGAGGACCGATTCCAACCGTAGCCGTAACACCGAGTTCCAATTTTACGAAGGGGCCTACCAAGATTTACGAAGAGCCTTCAAAAAGGACGAAAAAGAGCGTAAACACAGCCAGAAGGAGAGAATTATAAAATGGATCGCGGCCAAGGTCGACGAGCTTCACGGGGAATTTCAGAGAGACCGCAATGTCTGCCCAGAGAATGGCGAATGGCTCTGGCGCCAACACGACGAAGTCTCCAATTGGATGAAAGAAGATATTCCCGAAGAGTCGACAATATGGGTCCATGGTCCTCGAGGCATGGGCAAGTCCGTCCTCTCATCCCATGTCGTGGACCGCCTCCGTGAACTCGCCGCAAAAGGCCGCGAGGTGCCTTCCAAAGCACAAGTGTGTTACTTCTACTGCCAGGAAGAGGACTCTGACAGTAATACCTACCTTGGCATCCTGAGAGGGATTCTCCACCAGCTCGTCGAATCGGCCAAGGTCCCCAACGACGACGAGCCTTCCGAGCAGAACATTGCGAACAACAACCTAGCCATTCTCCCTCTCTGCGAAGACAAGATGACAAACTCGGGTGGCTCCACGCTGACCAACCCAGACGTAGCGCAGTCTCTGATTGAGGTCTTCTTCGAGAACAACCTGCGCCAGTATGTCGTCATTGACGGGCTGGACGAGTGCAAGGTCACGGAGATCACCCAGGCCGTTGTTTTCTTCACAAAGGCGGTGAACGTCTTCGATGATTTGAATCAGGGACAACTGCGGGTGATGTTCATGACCCAGTCGAGCAAGGAGGTCCGTCGTTGCATGGAGAAGAACGGTCTATCGCCAACTTCAGGAGTAGTTGAGCTTAATGCAAAGGAGAACATGGAGGACATCCGAAGATACGTGAGGAGGATGCTCGGTTGGCGAGACGAGCAAGCAAATCCCTTCAACCTAACCGAACGGGAGATACAGGAGATTGAAGACAAGATCTCAACCACGAGCGAAGGTGTGTTCTGGACTTGACCACGGAAAGATGACGACTGACTAGCCCCACAGGCCTCTTTCTCTACGCACACCTCGCCATGAAGTATCTTCTCGAACAACAAACGAAAAAGGATCTTCTTGATAAGGTGAAACCTGGGGTACTTCCAAAGAGTATCAAGCAAATGTACGCCCTCCTCTTCGCTGAAAGCTTCTCGGAACGCGAAACCAATGCGATATCCATGCCTGAGCCACACAGCTGACACCACTGCAGCTACACCAAATTGCTGGGAGCCCTGAGAACTCGTCTCGAGGAGAATGGAAATTGGGACCGCGGAAAGCAGCTCCTGGGCTGGCTCATCTGCGCTCACCGCCCCCTTCAATTGCACGAAATTCAAGCAATCCTCTGCTTCAACCCCGACGAAGAGGTAGTTGACTTTGACCTCTACAAGCTCCGCATTGGCGTCACCGATCTCCTGGGCCCTCTGGTACAGGTCTTGCCGGGGGACAACATCCGCCTCATCCATTCCACAGCCAAAGAGTAAGTTGCCATGTCATGGCATTTCTGGCAAGACGCTAACAGCACCTGAGATACCTCGCCGACCCCGAACACATTGACGCAAAGACCGTCCAATGCGAACTCGCAACCCTTTGCCTCCGTTACCTCTCCCTCCGCTGCTTCGTCGCCGACGACTACTTGGAATCCGAACGACGCGACCACATCCTCCACGGCTACTTCTCCTTCCAAGACTACGCAATGTCCCAATGGTACAAACATGTCATCAGCGTCGTTGAGAATTGCCGCCCTGTCTTCAACTCCAACAACGCCCAACTCCCAAATACGACATCCTCCTTCTGTGAAGCCCTCGAAAAGTTCATATCCTCCCACAACAACGATCTCAAACCGCTGCCCGAGCCCGACGCCCCTTCAGACTTCCCCAGCGAGCACATCGACACCTTCCAAAACCTCTCATTCTACTCCCTTCTCCTCCGGCTCTGGAATCACATCTTCATCCACCAAAACGGCTCCGCTGAAGAACGAAATAAGGTTGGCATCGCGCGCCTCGAAAACGCCCTCAAAGCCCACCGCGCCCTCATCGAAAAGGACTTCAAGCCGGACCGCAAGACGCAAAACGATGATACGATGGAGGACTACTACGGTCCCAACCTCTTCAAATGCTCCCGCACCCTCTGCAAGTTCTTTTATCACGGCTTCAGCAACAAAAAAGACCGCGAGTCCCACCAGAACCGCCACGACCGGCCGTACCCGTGCCTCATCAAGGACTGCGGCTTCGCGCCCTTTGGCTTCTCCTCCAATAAGGACCGGCAGCGGCATGTGCGGAACTACCACCCCGAGGAGACCGAGGGGCCGTCCCAGTTCACACAGATGAGCCGGCGCGTCGAGACGGCCAAGTTCGAGTGCTCAATCTGCAAGAAGAGCTTCACGCGCAACATCAACCTCAAGGGCCACGAGAGGAGTCACTTTGGAGAGAGGCCGTACGCGTGTTCGCACTGCGGCAAGGCGTTCGCGAGACTGAATGACTGTCGGCGGCATGAGAGGATTCACACGAGGAATAGACAATGAGGCGGTGATTCAGGCTGTATCTGTGATTCGGAGCGGTGTTTGGAGTTTTGTTTGTTATTCAACGGGATATCTACGGGAGGGTATATAGGTAGCAGGTTCAGAGCCTCGACTTTGTAATGGACATTCACTAGGATATCAGAGATATCAAAGATACTTTTTGTTTTAAGCCAGACTTGAATCAAACGCCTAAACATCGCCGTGAGAATCAACTCAACCCACGATTACTTAAAATGACTGAAGGATACGGCGGATGGTTTGCAGGCGGCACTGGAGGCGCTGATGCGACGGGTCAAGGCACCTCGGGCTCTGTGCCCGTCAACGGTCCTCGCCCTGTTTAGATGGAACCATGAGAGGAATTAAGACCGTTTTTGCGAGTGAGAAGTTTAGCAAGGCACACAACTTAGTCTAAAGTCACTCATTGCTTTGCCATGACTACCCTTAGTCGTTTGGTAGGAGCTCAGCCGTGTCCTTGTCCAAGGTGATAGCATTGTTTAATCGCCGATACGTCCATCTAGCCCAGCTGATCACTTGCTGTCGGCGTGGATGTTCCACTCAACGAAGATAGTACCAGAAGTAGGTCTAACGGTGGTGAGCATGATATCTTATATCTCAACCAATTCAACGTCTCCAATATTCCTAACTCGCAGTATAGGACTTAGCTTGCTTCACGACGCGATTAGCCATGGAATTTGTCTTGAATAGGCCTATGGCAAAGAACATCCGCATCTAGCTGACTATATACTTCACTAAGAAGTCATCCAGATGAAGTAGACAGGAATCAATGAACCTTTTCAGATACATCATCTTCTTTCCCCTGTGATTCGTAGTTCGTGATGTAGCTGTAGTCCGCTGACCGGAGTTGTTCCCACGCAGTTATGAGAATTTTAGGCTCCGGATGAAAGCAATGCTAACACCGGGAGCGTGAAAGTCGAACTTCTGCGAGTGGCGACGCCTTGCTCTTGTATGTATAGCAGTTGTGAGAACCAGAACATCTTGAAAATGCCTCATTTGATTCACCACACTGTTACGCTGGCTCTGAATTGGCCTGGCTTGACGCTTCAATGCCCTCGTGTTCCCACGAAGACGATCAACGAAGTCATTGAGCTGACAAACCATCACAACAGCGATCAGCGGATGGCCAGGCCAATCCAAGATTTTGTCGAACCCCAACTACCGATAACCTCCGAAGATCAACTGAACCAAGATGCAAGATCGAGACGAGGGCCCTGGTTCTCGCTTCGCCCGCGCCACAGTCTTACCATGCCACAAACTGCCATGACTGCATACGAGGTTGCACATTTCAACCGAGCTAAAGCCGTGGTGCCGAGAGCGTTCCAAGAAACCCGCCGCAGGATCGGCGCCGATCGACATCCCGAGGCACGGCCGGTGAGCATGCCTACGGGGCGCCATCACCACCGGCGTGCCCTCCCACCGGTAGCGTACCACCGTACTCATCAGCTTGCCCAAGTCTTCCTGAATTTTATGAGGTTCGGGCCACGACGGAGGCAAGCCGGTGCCAGGAGGCGGACCCAAGCAGTCACCCCGGAAGCAAGAATTGAAGACCGTTGAGATCAACAACGGGGCGTTTGGAAGTCAAAAGCTTGTTGCTTTCACGATCCCAACGATGGAGGGCTCGCCAATCATCATGTTGCCGGTGCGGCGGCAGTGACTCTGCGGGATATTCTCCGTCCCTGAAGAATTGCGCTTCGACGCGCAAAGAGCCGCGCCCGAACAAAGACCGCCCGCCCATCATGACTCAACGTGGCGTGGTAGAGCGGACGTTGCGAGGCGGTCGAGTCCAGGAACGGCAACCCGCAGCGTCGCCGGCCACCAATGATGGTCGTAGTTATTTAGCAAACATGGCGGACATGACCCCGTGGCGGTCGCCCAATTGCGCCAGACCTGGTTCAGCCATTGCCAGAGACAGTTGGTCCTCCTTCACCTGCGTGTCATGAGCGCCGTTTGGCTTAGCGCGGATGCTAGCAGCGGCGAAGAACAATTATCCGTGGCATAGAATGGGTCGGCATCCTTTGTGTGTGGGTGTGGGTGTGTGGGCCGGAAAACTAGAGGCATAATGAAGCCACAGCGTGCTTCTTGTTCCAGAAAGCGCGCTGTCAGGGCAAGAGAGCCAATGATAATGGCTGTGGCGAACGATGATTGTCCAGAGCTGCGCTTTTTTAGCCGAGCAATGTGGCGAGAGCATCTCAACACGATGCGAGTTGAAGAATTTGCAGACGATCTGTGTATGGTGGACAATGTTGGTGATGACGAAGGTCGTACCGAATTGAAGTGAGTTGCCTCATTGCGCGCGGTGACGCAGGATGGGAGCATTTGTCCAGACTGCCTCTTCCTGAATGACGCCCACGATGAGACCAACCTGCCGGTAAGTGTGGGAGCATTGAAATGTGTGTATGGTGTGTGGCGGCCGTGACGATGGGCCAAGCCGATTGCTCCCATCGGATAAGCACCAATGTTCTGCCCCTTCACACAACCCATTCCCACTTCCCGCTGCCCAACGTCGGCTTGTCCACCTAGCATCGTCATATTTTCAGCTGTCGTTGGTTCCAACACGGTGTTGAGGAAACCGGGCCCCATTGCGACGGGTACGGAGGCCAGAGCGCTCGGCGGTTGGGGTTTGCCTGGGGACAAGCGGAAGAATCGGCACTTTGATCAGCTCTGGTCCGTTGGAACGTCCGCCGGCAACCGCATGTCGGGCGGGTCCATGGCTCGGATTTCTAATTCCAACCACCCGCAGTAGACAGTGGTGCTGCGGTAGTCGGACTTGGCGTTGGTGTGACTACGTTGGCTTCGTCGTCGTTACGGAGCTGGTCGAGTCCGACTGGTTGCTTTGTGAGTCGACCTTGGCGTGTCGAACCGGGAAGGCAGCTGTAAGCTGTGACGAAACGTCTGGTTCGGTTTCCGTCGCCTCTCATTAGACGATTTCATGATTAGATGGATAAGCCCTGACAAACCAGAGGCGAAACAAAACTGCGACCCCGGCGGCCATAACTGAGAACATGTCTGATAGACCAACCAAGGGCGAACCCCGACGGGACGACGTCACCGTCACGAAACACGATGCGAGTTACAAGCAGATGTTTTTGGGAATAAGCAGCATGAGGTATGCATGCAAGCGGCGCCGACAGGAGCTATGGGCGAGCTTCTCCAAGTCAACGAGCTCCCAGACCAAACGGCGGATGACTGCCGAGGAACAAGACCAGGAGCCTATGTCCTATTTCAGCTCCATTCCGAGGAGTAGCACCCATTCTGCAATTCCAGTCCATCAGCCCAATTGGCCTGAATGACTGGAAAAACAGTTGAAAGGAAAGGACTGATCGGCAAGTAAGAACGAGGCCGAGATTGCTTTCCCCAATTCCCGAAGATGCTTGCCAGTCGTGGCTGGTCTGAGAACAGACAGAAAAGTCCGGGGTAGACAGGGATGCTGCCCGCCCGGGGTTCATGCCAGGGGTGTCAGGTGCGCACTCTCGGGGATGACGGCCGGCTACATTTGAAGGGGCCAAGACGCCCTCCTGTTCCTTTCAACTCGATGGCGTTGGAATGAGTTGCTGGTCTGTTCGATTTGGGGTAGGAGTTGGGGACTTGTGTCCGGGGCTGGGATGGCTGGCAGCTAGCTCGGTTGGAGAACCATTTCACATCGTTGATACTTGCCGTACCGTGTGAGCCTTGGTCTTTGAAGGGAGCCAATGGGCAAGCTTGGATAATCTTGAGAACTGCGACTTCCATGCCACCCATCCATCTTCGAAGTGTGAGCGGATTTGGGGTCAAGGTGTGTGTGTGTGTGTGGCCCTAGTTGGCCATGCAGGGTTCGAGAAACGTGGAGGGGGATGGTGGGCAGCCAGACGTGGTCCAGGAACGCTGGCTGTCGTTGCCGATTTGTCACTGGCGCTCGACACCGTCAACTCTTGAGCCAACCCGTCAATGTTGACGTGATAGGTCGGTAACATTGGGAAGAAAAGGCAACCCAAACGGACGAAGCTGCAAAAAGGCAGTTTCCATCCCGTCAGTCGCTCGACCAGGGAAAAGCCGACTGGCCATCCGATGGCGATGGGTGGATGGACGGATGCCCTCTTGCACAGCCTCAACAATGTCCCTGATTCTAAGTGCGTAGCAGTGACAGGTCCAACCCGAGATCAGTGTGGATCGGCAAAGGGCTCAGAACAAGACGAATAAAATGAAAGCTCCCGTTCCAGCGCCTGCAGCACGCTGCAGTGGACGTGCTGGCATATGGATCTCGGCGGACCAGATGCATTTCTCTCTTTCGTCGCGGCATTGGTCGGAGTCCAGAAGTGAATGGAGACGCTTCTTGGATTCCTCCAACCTCAGTCAAAAGTCCATGGTGGACCTCTGCAACCGAGCCAAATGAGTGTTGCTTCATAGTATTAGAAGCAGCGTCCAGGGGAAGGGTGCTTTTGCCGCTGGGGTACTGTCGCAGAAAACAGTTACATCTCCGGCCTGCGGCTAGGATAAAGTCCGCCATCGCTCGATTAGAGTAATTTGGGGAAAAGTTGGAGAACTGTGCTGTTGTCTGGACTGTTGTCTGGAGAAGCTCTGCTGTGCCGAGCAATGAAGCTATGTCGTACAGACGGCTGATTCGATAAGCTGTCTGATGCCGGGGGGAACTAGGCCTCTCCTGCAGTGCCTATTCTCCGTTACCCGGGACAAGCTCAGGTCTGGCAAGCAAACCGTTGCAATCCAGGCCGTGAGGAGCGTGTGGAAAGCTGTCGATGCGCCTCGCCGTTGGATATAAAATCAATCTCTCGTCTAGCGTCCGAGGATGCAGCACAACAGCACGGAATGGACAAGCTTCAAAGCTCGGAACACCAAGAAACGCATGGAAACACGCTGCTGGGCAAGCTTTCTCGCCTTGTCCAGCGGAAGCTCCGCAGACAATCTGCCAGGATTCATCGAGGCTGAGGTACATACGATGACTACGGCAAATCCTTGTAGTCGTTCCACCGACCTTCAACACAGCGCCATGA